GTGAAATAATTTTTTAAATAGCGAAAAATTCTTTATATTTTGATCGGTTACGTTTATATTTCTTCGAACCGATAAAATTCTTAAAATTGATAGAAACATCGTGATCTACAGCGGCTACATCTTTTTGCAAAGCGTAATCTGGAAAACCTAGAATTTTCTTCGCAAGCTGTTATATCTATATAATAGTAAATACTGTCATATCTGGGTCACCCTTAGGTCATGCAAGATTAATTTTTCGATTATAACAAATCAATTATATTTGAAAATGAATTTCCGACTCTCGCATGGAATCGTAATCAGTGTTTTAAATTCAGAAAAAATTTTACTTGCACAATTGAAAATTTGTGTAACAAAAATGTAAAAAATATGATTTTCTATAAAAATTTACGTGCACAATTATTTTTTCTTGTATATTAAAAAATTTACATGCACTATGCATATATATCAGGCTGCCGAAAAATCAATTACAATTAATTTTTTTCATACATCATACAATTAAAATTATCATAGAATTAATTGAAATCCAATTATTGTGCTTTACAAAAAGACGTGGCTTCTGCAGATCACAATGCCGCATGAGAATCGGAGGTTCTATAGATTTTAAGAATTTTATCGGTTTTAAAGTAATATAAATATAATGCTCGAAAGTATAAATTAATAGACAATTTAAAATAGAGCTGGACAAGGTAATTTACTTATTACATAAAAGCTAAATCACATTATGCGACAATTTAGTATGTTATTAGTTGTAAGTATCAGTATACATTATTAGTAAGTTTTAAGTAATAAGTAAATTACCTTGCCAATCTTTAATCTAAAATCTCAGAAATTTTCTCCGATAATTACGTATCACAAAAATCATGTGGCCACATCTTTTTGCAAAGTGCTATCTATAATGACAAAATAATTGAAATCAAATCAATTTTCTTTCATTATATGCGTAAAGCGTTGCTTACAGTATTTTGTGTGAAATAATTTTTTAAATAGCGAAAAATTAAAAAGCATATGTATTTATAGTAATTAATCTTTACGGCGATGTAACCTAATTACGTAAAATTGCAATTAATTGACTCATAGTGACTACGCCACAAATCAATTGAATTCAAAAAATTGCAACTAATTGCCCGAATAATCAATTATTCGGTATGTGCAAGTCAATTTTAAACACTGATCGTGATCTACAGAGGTCATGTCTTTAGCCTTTGCGAAATTAACTTTGAAAAGCACCCTGATATTACCCACAGCCATATGAGAACTGGTCTAATAAAATATTTGTCGGGGAATCTGAGAATTCCTCGATTAATTATCCAAATCTAGTTTATAAGAGCCCTAATTCATAAATCGTGCCTAAAATTTTTAATAATTAAAAAATTTGCACATTGAATTCTGTGCAAGGTTTGCGGTGCAGATTTCTTGAACGTAACATGATCATGAAAACAAATGTATTTATTGTTTATTTCTTGAGCAATTTACTATATGACTTGCTAACATCTGACCGTAATATAAACGTTAACCTTAATTTCAATGAATATTATAAAATTTTGTTAACTGTAAATCTACACCGCAAAGCTGGCACAGAATTCATACGCGTTGTCCTATCAGGTGATGAGTCGAGAAAAAACTTCACATCGAACAGTTCATGAAGATCAGTATTAATAAATTTCATTTGAAAATTCGGATATTTATAATTTCTTAGTATTAATAATTCTCTTTGATTAACCGAATAATTATTGAGTAGACATGTGTTAATTGACAATAATTCAAGTCAATAACAAATATACTACATTAACTATTGTAATTTGCACCATTAAAAGCATCATATTTGAAATTGTTTTTAGAATTTGAATAATCTTCTCTCCATCTCGAGGCTACTTCATCTTGAATTTCTTCAGTTTGTTTAGTTTGTTCATATATCCAATGATAACGTTCATATCCACAAAGCGATTTATATTCTTTGAGTTTAGCTTCAACTAAAAATTTCCAGTAGGATTTGCTGTCACCTCTGATATTTGTGAATGGAATGCACGTAAGGATTTAACATGCTGAGTAATTGAAATAGATCAATACTACTACACTGTTATTAATAAAAAGTATAATATGTTTAGCTATTTATGACATAGTTCTTTGAAATATCCGTAAGTACCGACAACTTACGTGACAGTTCCACCTTCGTAACAGGATTCACAAGCACGAACTTTAACATCCCAATAAATCTTTGATTTTTTGCTCTTCTTT